AACCCCCTTCCCAGTCCCACAAATGCAAGTAAGTTTTTTTTTTTTTCTTTACTTAACAGTCACTAAACATCTCATAATCCGAAAATGAAGCCCTATTACTCAGGAGCTATAGAGCCAGTGTTCAATTCCGTCTGCCATCCAAAACGCACCCTCTGTAAAAAAGGGGTGTGTTGTCATTTAATCCAATGATCTACCGTTTGAGTAGACCAGGTTAAGGAATGTAAAGGAATTTTCAGAAACTGGATAGCTCCTCCTCTGCCCCTGCCGTATCCCCGAGGTCTACCCTGCTCAGAATGCCATGAACTTCAACAATGAGTACAGCGCATCAAGGAAAAGCAGACATAGGCTGAAAGGATGTTTATTTGGAAACTTTTATATTTGTTAGATTTCCGTGTTTTATTTTCAGTGTTTCCTTGGAATTTTCATGACCACACAGGCCCCCATCTTTGAAGCGTCTGTACTAAAGGTTCCTGGTGCCTTCTTCCTGATGGCACTTGGTTAATCTGCAGGACCTATGAAATCATACGATTCCTACTGACAATTCAAGAGACTAAAATTTGAGGAACTCAGATTATACAAATCAATCCAAGCTCTTAAGGCTGAGCACATGGAATCAAAATGAAGTTATCCATAGTGATACGGATTGCATAATCTTTATTGTCTTTTAATCCACTGGTCTAAGAATCACACATATCAGATTAAACAGGACTACCACAAGAAAGCTTTATTTTGCAGGTACTGATTAGTTCACTAAATTGATATAATCAAAACTTTAGGCAGCAGCAAGCATCAGTTCTTCCAAAGAAGCTTAGGTGAAAAACAATCCTTTATACCCTAGTTCAAAGACCTACTGTCTGATCCGCTGTTGTACTGACATAAAAATGACCCCAGTGAGCAAAGCTAATACTCAGTTCATAGATTGGGGGCTTCCTGTCTTTGACTGGAATTGAAGCAGTTTTTGTTTGAACCCTCCATTAATATTTTGTATTTTAATCTTCATTCTCAAACAAGAATTAAACACGTTTGCTGATTATCTACTCAGAAGGTAGAAAACTTTTAAATGAAGCCAAAATTTTGAATGTCTCTCAATTTCCAGTTCACATACTTATTAGCAAGGTCACAAGCTGATTTAAATAATCGGGCTTTCTAGACAATCATCTCAAAAATATTTATTGAAACGAAGCCACTGTTCTTTATGCTGCCATCATTTTGACCAAATGACAAATGAGCAATTGTTTTCGCGGGAGAACATTTTAAGAGAAAACTTTCTTTCTACCCTTAGCAAACAGAGGAGAGCTGGAATCTGCAAGTCAGAGCTAGACAGTTCTAAGGGAGAGGTAATCGAGCAAGCTGACTCTAGGCCACATTGGAACATATGCTTTCTAGACGAACATATAGATAAGACAGTAAAGAAAGATGTGGATGAAGCTTCTTCCTTTTAAACAAAATTTAATAACAAACTAACTTTGTTCAAGGTTTAGGCTTCATTTTCTTAATCCATGGAACATTTCTGAAGTGAAGGCAGATCTTTGGAGACTTTGGGTTTTAGTTAGAGATAAAACCGCTTGATGAAATAAACATCTGCCTTAGGCTAATAACAGGTATGCAAAGCAGCCATTTGGGCCCTGGAGGAATACAACACTGTGCTTCCAAATCAAAGGGCAATTCACCAGCCTAGCCCATCAAGCAGGCCCTGGGATGAATGGTTCCCAGTACCTTACTCCAGAAGCCAGAGTCAGTGGAGGTCCCTACAGGGATACAAGTCTATATCAGTATCAACAAATTTATATCAAGATCAACAAATTTACAGTATAATCCCAGTCCAGCTTTGGCTAGGCATTCCTCTTACCGATGTCACTTCAGGGCCCACTAGCCTCTAGAGTTAGCACTTGCTGCTGAGTGAATAGAGAAATCAATACATTAAAAACGTCAATCGGAACTTATTCGTATAGGGAATGGGAGACTGCAGGAGGCACACGAAGTATATAAGTTTTGGGTTGGTTTTTTTTTGAGGATGAATTAACTTTCTGAACAAGTAAAGGCTCAAGGGAAAAAAAAATTCTAAATCATAACCCTAAAAAACCATAAGCCATCCTATATCAACACTTTTTTTTAAAGCTGAAGATTTTCATTCATCCTTCAGCATAAATGTCAAGTCTGAAATAATCAATCTAGTCCAAACTCCAGAAGGCAAAAAAAAAAAAAAGACATCCTTATTAAAATACGGTAGCCACTAACAGTGATGAAAACAGCCAGACTTTTGCTATTAAGCACAATATTCTGAAGCCATTTCTTACTTTCTTTTTTAACAGAAAAATACTAAACAGATTTAAATAATCATGATTAGGAGGTGAGGAAAAGAAGTCTTAACCAAATTTTATGCTTGCCACCAATGAAAATGAATTCATTATGTTCTTGAATTTATTATCCTGAAGCAAGTTAAATTCTCAAACAGCCTTGATTTTGCAAATAACGTCAAACAAAGTAAGCAAAATACCAGTAACCGCAACATACAAAATTATTCTTCCGTAGAAATGCTTTCATAATTGAATCCAGAGGCTTAAAATCATTATTTACTAAAAAACATACTCTAACCCACAATTTTTCTTCCAATTACATTTTAACAAAGGAAGAAAAAAATAGAAAAAAGAATGGTCCTAATACATTTTTTCTTAAATAAGTGCTACTCATGCCCAAGTTAGCTAGCAATTCACTGAAGTTAGTCTGCATATCTTCAACAATCAATTGCACAGCATTTCCTGGCACCTCGCCAAGGGAAATGTAACTTCTGATGGCAAAAAAAGCACTAGATTTCATTGATTACACAGACTGATAACCAGTACGACTTTTCCTTCTTCCAATCATATAAGAGATAAAGACAACAATTATAAGGAAGCCCAAGGCCACACCCACTGCAACAGGAATAAGAAAGTTGAGGTCAGAGTCAGCAGAACATTCTTCAGCTGTTAGAAAAGAACAGACAGAGAGCAAGGAAATTAGTAAGGAATGCAATTAAGCAGAAATGAGCCAACAAGAAACAAGCATTTCGAAAGTGAATGTAGATTAGTCTTTAATAGCATTACCCCCACGTCCTTATCTTCTTGATATTCACCCAAATATCTCTAAGGAACTGATCCTCCGATATCTCTCATTTTCACTTCTTCTCAAATCACATCTAATTCCTCAGTACAGAAAGCAGAAGTTAAGGGATGAACAAGAAAAGAACTGTACTTGCCTAACACGGGAAATTTTTCTGTTTGTCTAATGGCACCAGGAAAAGAGCTGTCATCTGCACTTAACACACCACCTGTGTGTTTTCCCACTCCCTTTCTCCCTTGCCACAACTATCATCAAAATAGAAGTAAGAATTCTGTAGGAGTAATACAATTTAAGTTAAAAAGGACTTTGGATCAAGAAAATGCAGCATAATGTTTCTTTCACACAGGTATCAGGTAGTGAACAGTGGCCTGGAAGAATAGTAGAACCTGAGACATGTCAGTCCATTCCAGGACCACCAGGAAGGCAATGTGTGGTGTAGGTTTTGAGCTGTGGATTCAGACAGAGCCGAGTTCGAATCTCGACTACTTCAATAAGGATTTAAAGGATCTTGGTCAAGTTATTTAAACTGGGCTTCACTTTTCCTCACCTGTAAAAGGGGGATAATAATACTTGTATTTTAGTAAAAGGGGGATAATAATACCTGTATTTTAAGGTATTTGAGGATTAAATACAATTGGATTTCTAAAGCATCTGACACACATCGGATGGTCAACAAGTATTCATTCCCTTCTCTTTTCCTCCCATGTTTATGATCCCATCCAAGGTTTAGGTTTTGAAGCAGCAAGTAGGGATCAAAATAAGAGTGTTCACTATATTTTTATTGGAAAAGCCAATACTCAGTGCCTTCAAAAAGTACTTAAAGTTGGTATCATGTGTTATTTATTGAAAGTAGTTAGTAGAGAAGCTCAAAGTGCCCCATTCTCATGTCACAATTTTATGTTTAAACTAGTTTTACTATTGAGTGACTAGATTTCCTTGGGACAATTTTGATCAAAATGCTAATAATGGTTTAACCTCAGTGAAGTCACCCTCTTTTCTGTAAAATTATAGGGTGGGGCGCCTGGGTGGCTCAGTTGGTTAGCGTCCAACTCCTGGTTTCCACTCAGGTCATGATCTCATGGTTCAAGCCCCAAATCGGGCTCTGCACTACAGCATGAGGCCTGCTTAGGATTCTCTCTCTCCCTCACTCTGCCCCTGCCCCTCCCCTGCTCATGCTCTCTCTTGCTCTCAAAAAAAAAAAAAAACACACAAAACTTTAAAATTATAGGGTTAGGGGCGCCTGGGTGGCGCAGTCGGTTAAGTGTCCGACTTCAGCCAGGTCACGATCTCGCGGTCCGGGAGTTCGAGCCCCGCGTCAGGCTCTGGGCTGATGGCTCGGAGCCTGGAGCCTGTTTCCGATTCTGTGTCTCCCTCTCTCTCTGCCCCTCCCCCGTTCATGCTCTGTCTCTCTCTGTCCCAAAAATAAATAAACGTTGAAAAAAAAAATTAAAAAAAAAAAATTATAGGGTTAGAGGGGAGCCTGGGACTTCAGCTCAGGTCATGCTCTTGTGGTTCGTGGTTCAAGCCCCGTGTCAGGCTCTGTGCTGACAGCTCAGAGCCTGGGGCCTGCTTCAGATTCTGTGTCTCCCTCACTCTCTGCCCCTCCCCCACTCATGCTCTCTCTCTCTCTCTCTCTCTCTCTCTCTCTCTCTCAAAAATAAACAAACATTAAAAAATTTTAAAAGTAAAATAAAATAAAATTATAGGGTTAGAGTAAATAATCTTTAGGGTCCTTTCCAGTATAAACCTAATGCGATTAACATGGCATATTTGGTGTGATTTATGGTTAATACCTTGCACTTTTTCCTCTAATTTTACCTTTTATTCCTCTTGTGTTTTTGTCATTAATTAAAAAAAAAAAAAACAAGACAAAACAAAACAGAAACCAGTTGCTAAAGGTACTGAGTACATGAATTTCAGTAATGACCATAGCTTTTATTGTAAGGATTTACTATATTTCACTGAAAGCCTTCAGACACAGATGGCTGGGTACGAAGATACTGTCATCAGCGAGTTACAGAAATTCTGAACAAGCCAATATATACACAGAATGAATTAATAAAATAATCACTTCAGTGTGAATGTCTTCTCCCGTCCATTGGTTAAACTTCCTTCTCATTTGTCTATACATTCAATATGCACGCTATACTTATAATGAGCAGTATGCTTCAATAGGGGCTGATTATCTAGCTCATTTTAATGCCAACAGCTTCTCTCTACCCCCCTATCTATGCTCTGCCCCACGGGGGCCTTCTCGAAGAAGCAAGAGCCTAGTTGCTATGCTTCAGTGCCTCCCTTCTGAGATTGCTGTTAGCTTACATTTTATAAGTACCAGTCTGATGACAACACTAAATAGATTTTAATGCTCTAGAGATCAACAAGATGAGGTAGAGAAACACAACACAATCTGTCCTAATTAGTTCATAGAATATTTCTATCTTTCAATGCTAATCAGGCATCCAAAGAAAAGAAAAACACAAGGAAAAACAAGGCAAGTGGTTAAATACGCTTGAATCTTTTCAGTCTATGTTGCAGAAAAAGAAGCAGGTTTTTTTTTTTTTTTAACTTTAATTCTGAAGCCAGTTTAAAGTTCTGTTGTAGTCTCTTGGGTCTGTTTTTCACCCAGGGAAAAGTCACAAGCCTGAGATCCTGGCTTCATCCTTAAATCAAACTCAAAGAAAACAGCAAGTCACATAACCTAAAAAATGTTGATGGTCCTGAGGACATTCGACTAAAAACCAAGTTTGAGCATATTTGATGGGCATTTATGTCACATCGATATTTATTGAATGAACTATATGCAAAAGTACTGTGATGAGTTTAAATCAGGATAGTTCTAATATTAAAACAGAACACCGGTAGTGAAACAGGATTTATTAATTCCATTAAGAGACAGCTACATATTTTATTCTTATAATGGCCAGGTTAATAAGTTTAAGGCATCTGAGGTTAGGATCAAAATTTGGCCAAGGCTTCTAAAAGGGTAGACCTTAACACACCACACACCAATGTTTTTAACCAGTTTGTCTTCAGGACCAGTAAATACAGTATTTAATTTTAAGCTGATAAAAGAGAATAGTTTTTATTCATAAAGACTTATCTCTAAATGCTGGGACTGATTTCAAAAGTTTCAACACTTCAGTCTTAAGAGAGCAACGTGTTTCAAAATTGAAAGGCAAAAAAATCTTATGTGCATGTATTTTTATATAATCAATCAAACTACAGGTTCTAGAATTGCTCATATCCAGCGTGATGGCGCTTGAGACCAATAAAGTAAGCCAGCAACACTAGAATAAGTACTCCTGCCAATGCTGCTCCCACCGCTATGGGCACAAGGAAGTTGTCGTCATCTGCACTGCAGTCTTGAGCTAGACATGGAGAAAGGACAATTGAGAACAGAAACAGTGACAAAATTTCAAATCTGCAAATGTTAGGTTAAAATGACAGCACTTCCTGACACGCGTATTTGTCTCTGATGCCAAGGGAACAAGTCACTGGCACTCCTTATCGGCAAATGAGATGTTCCACCAAAGCAATTTTCCAAATAACCAAATCGTACACTTTTAAGGACCTCCCCCGCCCCCCTGCAAATGCAGTCATTTTGGATGAAAGGTACATAAACTGATCACATACACTTCCCAGGTTTCTTAAACGGAAGATAATGATACACAGAATGAATCTTTCCTTGATGACCAGGCTGTGAGCTTTCAGAGGCCAACTGTTATAATGTAGAAGCAGCAGAGTGCCCAGAACACTGCAGATTGTGAAGCATTAATGCAAGGAGCCAACTGAACAGCCATACAAAGCAGACATATGAACTCAACACGTAGCAACCTGAGGTCATTGAGCAGAAAGGAGAAGCTGACCCTGATAGCATAGCTGCCTGCCTCTGGTGTGAGTCAGACAAGAAAAGCAGGGGTTAGGATCTCAAAATGTGCTGTGATGGGGCGGCAGCCCACAAAGGGCCATGGAAGTGTTTCAGAGGCACACTCAACTCGGCCTTGTTACACAAGGCATACTTTGAAAGGGGTGACACTGGTGACTGAGGAATGAGCAGGAACCGGGGCGCCTGCGTGGCTCAGTCAGCTGAGCGTCAGACTCTTGATCTCAGCTCAGGTCATGATCTTGTGCTTCGTGAGATCGAGCCCCGTGTTGGGCTCTGTGCTGAGAGCACAGAGCCTACTGGGGATTCTCCCCCTGCTTCTCCCTCTGCCCCTCTCCTCCCTCTCCAAAAAAAAAATTTATGAGTAGGAATTAACCATGCAGATAATGCGGGAAGGGCATTCCAAGTATATGAAACAGCACAGACCAAAATATGGAGGGCAAGAAAACATGGCATTTCAGGGGAAATGCAAGCAGGTCGGCATAGCTAGGATGGATCAAGAGGTACTCTTGGCTGGAAAAGCAGCAGAAAAAGGACTCCAGGACCAGCTCACAAAGGCATTGTATGCTCTAGGTAGCCTGGCCTCATACTGATGGGGGAAAAAAACAGTGTAGTAAGATTTTAACCAGGATATTGTTTTGGAAGTTACGGCAGCTGCAGGACTGGAAGTGAGGAGGCGTCTCTATTGCTGGAGGCCAGAAGACCAATAATATGGTCCCCAACCGGGTTAACGAAGCACAGATACAGAAAGGGACAGACTAGCGATCCATCGAGAAGGCAGAATTGACCACACAGATATTGGGGGTGTGGTAGGAGGTAATAAAATGGCTTTCAATTCCACACCTGAGTGATTATGTAGATACCGGTGCTGTTCATCATGATAGGGAATACAGGAGGGAGAATCTGTGCATTCAGATTTGTTTGTAGTTATTTTTATGTGTGTGGCCTGGGTTTTTTTAATTTATCTATTTTATTTTTGTGAGTGTGGGCAGGGTGGAGAGAAATATGTGGAAGAGGGAGATGGTCAGTTTTGGATCTTCTGGGTTTAAGATGCCTGCCTGTGTCCCAACCGAGTGGTTGATGAACCTAAGTGACAATAAAAACCAGGGACACATTTATGTCTCAGCAAGGGCAAACAGAATTTAAAAAGGACCAGAGACAAAACCCTTGGGAACACTAATATTTGAGGAATAAAGGAGCAAGGAAAAGAAATAGAAAAGGCATGTAGAAAGTGGTGCCACAGAAGCCAAGGAAGGAAACAGCTTCAATCAGCATGGAAGAATAGTGAAAAATATTAGAGAACCTACTGGATCTCTAGCAATATGGAAGATGTTGGCTGTGAGTCCAATTGCTATAGGTTTAGGAGCAAAAGGAAAGTGATCGGTTGGGAGATCAATGACTTGGGATGGGGAACATTCAGTAGTCGTTCTGACAAGTTTAGAAGAAGAGAGGACAAGGAAGTAGGTAGTTAGAAGAACAAAGGCTAGTTTTAGGGTGGAAGAGACTTAAATACAGTCTGTAGACCAAGGGAAAGAGCCATTAACAATTGACTGAAGACGGGGCGCCTAGGTGGTCCAGTGGGTTAAGTGTCCAACTTCAGCTCAGGTCATGATCTCATGGTTCGTGGGTTTGAGCCCTGGGTCGGGCTCTGTGCCGACAGCTCGGAGCCTGGAGCCTGATTTGGATTCTGTGTCTCCCTCGCTCTCTGCCCCTCCTCCACTCACACTCTGTGTCTCTCATTCTCCCTCAAGAATAAATAAACATTAAAAAAAAGTTAAAACAGGGGCGCCTGGGTGGCTCAGTTGGTTAAGTGCCCGACTTCAGCTCAGGTCACGATCTCGCGGTCCGCGAGTTCGAGCCCCGCGTTGGGCTCTGGGCTGACGGCTCAGAGCCTGGAGCCTGCTTCCGATTCTGTGTCTCCCTCTCTCTCTGCCCCTCCCCCGTTCACGCTGTGTCTCTCTCTGTCTCAAAAATAAATAAACGTTAAAAAAAAATTTTTTTTTAAAAGTTAAAACAAACAAACAACAACAAAACAAACAACTGACTGAAGACAATGGTACAAAGTCGCCTAGGAGGCAGGTGAAATGGGATCCTGGAAGCACCGAGCAGGAAAAGAAAAGCTACTGAGAGTGGAGAGGAGGAAGCAATGGTACAGATGGAGGGACACCTGCAGAGGAAGGCAGCTGGGATGTTGAACCATCACTTCTACTTTCCATTTCCTTGCCTCTTACTGCCCTAGCTTGCAATCTACCAGGGTTTGAGAAATCAGATAATTAAGCTCGTTAGAACTGTGTCGAAATAAGAATGGACAGGCTACAAGGCAATTCTGATTGTGCCTACATTTAAGAAATGGGCCAGGCTTTTGCTAGCCTCTGGAGCAATAACTGGGAACAGGATGCAATCCTGGAGTTTATGGACTTTATGATATCGGCTTTGGCTGCCAGCTCAATGATCTTTTTTACTTGCTTCTTGGTTCTGTTAGAGATCCAGATAGCTGAGATTGCCAGATGTGACTTGTGAGTATATGGGCAGGAGCACCCGGTGAGCTGACTCCTCCCCTTCAATTTCCCAAATTACCACCCAGCATATAAACTATGAGGTGACATGAACCATAAAGTATTATGCCTTGGATGTAATATAACTTGGTTTTTAAAAAATTCATTAGCAGATTAATTTCTTATTCTGGCAACGGATTCACAGTCTTCTCTTTCCCAAATTGGGTATTTGACCTAGTATTGAAACGACTTTCATAAATACTGCCAATAAGGCTTTCATGTAAGACAAATATTCCCAGAGTAGATCAAAAAGGCAATTCCACTAATACAAAGACCTTTCTAGATGCTGTCACTTACTTAAAATGCTCTCAATTAGTATGTGAAGTATTAATTTATAATAACTATTGATTTTACGAATTCAGCCTTTAAAAATTCTTTAGGTGATGGAAAGAAATTTTGGAAAACAGTAATTTTAACAGGATCACATCCTGAAGGAAAAAAAATCTCTCAGGTCATTTTGACCTGATATATTTGCAAAATGTAGACTTGAGACCCATACTGAAAATATTTCTGGAGAAACAAAGAGTGTATTTGTGGAAGAGTTCAATAATTAATTACAGAAGCACTGAAGATTTTTAAAGATAAAAAGGTTTCACAGCCGCTGAAATTTCAATGAAAAGTTTCATATAGACTAAAAATTCTATTAATCCTCACTTTTCCGTTAGCTCAGAAATTTTTCAAAAACTATTTTCAGTGTACAGTTTTCAGTCAGAAAGCTGAGATATACATTTGTGACAAAATATAAAACAAACTCATCTTAAAAACCAACTGTCTCAAAATTTCTCTTTGGAAGAATCAGCATTAAGAAGCGTATTTTTTAAAGAAATTTTTAATGTTTATTTTTGAGAGAGAGTGCACAGGTGCACAAGCAGGGAAGGGGCAGGGAAAGAGGGGGATAGTGGATCTGAAGGGGCCCCCACACTTTCCGCAGAGAGCCCTATGCAGGGCTTGAACTCACCAAAGGAACCGTGAGATCATGACCTGAGCCGAAGTCGGAGGCCTAACTGACAGAGCCACCCAGGTGCCCTAAGAATCATGGTCTTATGTGACACCTAATTATATACCTTTTAGATCTACAAACTGTTTGAAGTGTATCACATGAATCTGAAGATACTTGAAGCTACTCAGTATTACCCAAACATGTCTATACTAGTTTTCAAAAACAAGATATGGTAATTATTGATGCAGAAAGCTAGTTACCAGAATAAAAGAGATGGGTGGGAGCAAGAGGAGCCCAAGATAATTTAACATTATCTACTTAAAGAAACAAAGATGAAATGCTAAAATCTTAAAAAAATATCTGAGTCTTTCTTACAAGAATTCCTCCTGAAAAGTGCAAGAAGCTTCAGATGGTATATTTTACGCTGTATATAAAGTATGCTCGTGATTATATCTAGTAGCTTCTTTTCAGATTTGTTCTAAAAATACTCAAAATTTTCACTGAAATGGAAACTATCACTCAAAGAAATCAAGAGTAACAGGATTTTAAAGCCCTCAGCCCCCAGATGAAGAAGTGGAGACCCCAGAAGTTAAGCAACTTGGCCAAAGTCACATGGCAGCTAGTAGCTGGAAGTTGTGACAATTAACTGGCAGTCACATGGCTGAAGTGGGCAATCCAGAGGAAAGTTAGGTTGGCAACGCCAGGTTGCCAAGTTTTTGTGTGTGCTAGGTGACTGGGAAGCTAGGTGAAAATTGGATGATTCAAGTATTTTAGGGTGATCTGAGAGAGTGATTGCACCCAATCTTATTTTGGTTCAGATCAATAGCTGGGTTTGTATGGCTGCAATGTACAGCTACTATCTATAGATATTAAATATCAGCCTCAACTTAGGGAGTTGAGAAAAGTAAACAAAGAGGGGCACCTGGGTGGCTCAGCCGGTTAAGCATCCGACTTCGGCTCAGGTCATGATTTCACAGTTCATGAGTCTGA